GATGGGCTTTCAGTAATGCATCTCCCTGAGTCATTTTTTTAAAACGTTTCATACATTATTTTTATTTTATGTGTATGCATATATTGCCTACATGTAGGTAAGTGGATTGCCCACAGAGGACAGAAGAGGCTGTTGGATCCTCTTGAACTGGAGTTAACAGACAGTTGTTAGCTGCCATGTGGGTGCTGGGATTTGAACCTGGGTCTTCTGCAAGAACAGTCAGTGTTCTTAACTGCTGAGCCATCTCTCCAGCCCCCTGCCTGAGTCATTTTTACAACTAACCTCTCACTTATATCCCTGTAAGTAATCCCAATAACCCCAATACACTCATTGATTGACTAAGTTGAACTTTGGTGGTATTTTTATTCTGGTCTGTCATCAGTTCTTTATCTAGAGTGGGTAGACATTCACATCTACCCAGGAGTAGTGTCACGCAACACAGGCTTACTACTGTTTTTTCTTTCTTTTTCCTTTAAAGGAATCCTAGTTTTGTAGTTCATTGTGATGTTACCAACCTGTTGCCTTTAAATGATTGCTCCACAGGAAATACTAATTCATAATTGATCTTTTACCCTTTTATTCAGACTTTATTTTCTGGAATTTTCATATTTTATAACATCTTCTTCAAATATGTACACCTTTAGTGATTGTTAAGTAAATATTGCTTGGAATTTTCTTTGGCTTGCCTTTGTCCACAATCAGCAAACTGTTTTCATTATAATCAATGATAATTCAATTTACAGCCATTAATATATAAATATACAGTTATAACCAGTTACTTTTTTCAGTGTTACTGCATTCTAGTCACACTCCTAAGTGATTATTTATATAGTAGCTCATTTAACCTTATTTTTTGGAGGCATATACCTCCTCACTTCCCCAGGGGGAAATATTGTTTCCATTTTACAGAGAGGCAACCAGAATACTGACAGGTAAAGTGATGGACCATAGGCAGTTACCCGATGGATAGGTAGTGACAATCTGAAGTATGGTCAGTGTGCTCAGCTGCTAACACAGTGGACAGCAAATGACAAATTGAAATTCAAATTTCACATCTTTTCCTTGATACCCGTTGACTTTGCCCTCTTCTTTATTCATATTAACTGTTGCACCTTTTGGAAGTTAGCCATCCTTCATTCCCTAGGTTTCAGTTCCACAGTCACAGAGACTGCACAGTACTCCTGAGATAGTTTGGTGCCCTGTCCTTGCAACATTTTGGAACCTAGAATCCATTGCTTTAGCACTCATCATGGTGTGCCAGCCTGTGTAATTTGTCAACTTCTGTCTTGTCCACAAGGGTGAAGTTCTGTTGGAGGAAATACCTTGCGTGTCTTCATTCACTGTTGTATCCTTGTCACTTATTTGCAGGCTGCTGTGTACATGACAGGTTCTCAGTAATCCGTGTTTTGAATGCATGAACCAGAGATTATGAAGAAAGGATGAAAAACAAAGGTCGACTCGTGTGTACAACTTGAGCTTCTCTAGATGCAGCATGTCCTTCCATTATTGCTGGTTGGGAATGAGCATTGCTTCACGTATCAGAAAAATCAACTACGGTGGCTTAAACAGATAGAATACTAGTTTCTCTCACAAAACAGGAGTCCCAGATTGGTATTCAGGGGCTGATTTAACTGTTAACAGAAGTCATCCAGGTACTGGGCCTTATTCTGCTTCTATTTCTGCAGGCAGCTTGGACAATAGGGTTAGTTTGTCAAAACGGAAATACATCCCAGTCATTGGATTTTCTAGTGTTGCATTAGGAATGGTGTGTGAAACTCATTACACCTCCTTGAACAAGTGTGGTGATCTTATTTATAATGTACTTTTTGGGGAGACTGGTGAAAAGGAATCCTAGGAACTCTCCTGATACACAACTGCCTTTTATATAAATCTTGTGGAACTAAAAACTGGTTGAGCATCATGTGCCTAGGGACTTAGTAACACATGTTACTGTAGGATGACTGGCTACAGTTTTAATAGGGGGAATGGGAAGCCCTGATCCTCAATACCAATGTTTAAAGTTTTTTTTTAATACATTCCCAGGGAAGAATGTTCTAGTCCCTGTGCAAGAAGTAGAATTTGGGCTGCTAGTGTCTGACAGCCAAGAAGAGGGGTTGCTCTGGTGAGAAGTAGGGGAATCTACCTCTCTAGTCAGTGTAGACTGTTTTAATGCTCCCATTTTCTATGTATTTCTTTCTTTTTAAAGTTATTTTTTTTTATTTTGTGTGTATTAGTGTTATGCCTGCATTGTGTGTAAGTATACCCATGTCATGCAATGCCCGCTGAGGACACCAGAGGGCGTCAGATCCCCTGGAACTGGAGTTACCGACGGGTGTTTGCCACCATGTGGGTGCTGGGATTTGAAACTGGGTCTTCTGTGAGAATAGTCAGTGCTCTTAACTGCTAACCATCTCTCCAGCCCTTCTCTGTATTTCTTATCCGTATCCTTCTTATGCCTAGTGTGCCAAATCTGGATTCTCTTAAGCCACCCTCTCTAGAGAATAAAACATGCCAAGTGAGCTGGAAGAGGGAATCCCAGCAAGGGAGGAGAAATGTTTTAATGGGTTTTTAAGTCATTTTCCCTGTTTTCTTTTATTCTGTTCCCATTTTATATATACCTGTGCCTTTGTGTCCTGTGCTTTTAGTAATGAAGGTAGGGAATGTTCGGAGTTCAGGAGGGCTTACCGCATATTTGCAGTCTTTGTGAGGCCTTTTCTGTCTTATAATCTGATTATGTTCCACCTGCAGTTTTGTAGTTACTTCCCTTCTTGCTTTTAGTACTTATTTCAGTCACCTTTTCATCACTAGATTATGAAATAGCTGAGATCCTCATTTCAAGAGAAAAGGTCTATTTGGCTCACAGTTTTAGTGGTTCCATTCCATGATCGGTCAGCCCTGTTGATTGGGCCTTTGGTGAGGCAAGTGCTGTGGAGGCAGTGGTGGAACAAACGGCTAACCTCACTGCCAGGAACCAAAAAGAGGAAGCAGCTGATGTCTGCCAGTCTCCTTCAGTGGCTCCCCCTACAGTTGTCCAGGTCCTGGACCCCATCTCTTAAAGCTTCTCCTGTTACCTAGTAATATAGCCTTGGAGGTCAAGACTGTAGCACATGAGTCTTTGAAGGACATGTGAGACCCAACAGTCTTACTGGACTTTCCCTTTTATATCATGCTGCCATTTCAGTGCAGAAGGACGGAAAATGCATGTGTTCAGTCTCTTAAGCTTAACTGGAACTCGAGCACATTTTTCTCTTAAAGGAGATTGATACATATGTCTGGAATCTATAAAAGTATTAAAGACATTAAACATTTATTGCCTTTTAGCTGATTCTTTCATATAGAAGTGAAAGAATAATTAAAATTCCCAGCCAGGAGTCATATGATGATGAGCTTAAAAAAATGTCTTTGTCTTTTCCAAAGGCCAAAAATGTCAAAAGTATTTGGGAGCTTGTATCTAATCCTTAAAAGATTTTAGGGTTACCTCTTCAGA